AGTAACAAGGAAGATTGTGCTCAATCTCTAATAGAGGCTGACGAAGCTAAGAAGATTGTCGAGAGCATCACTGACTCGATTACAGGTGGCGAAAAACAAGAACGTATGTATTATATTTCTTATTTTCTTCTAGATGCATTGATTATATAGGTTCGTACATGTGAAAAAACTTTAGGATTTTACTAATAGTAAAGAAATAATGAATATCAAGAAAAAAATTAAAGAAAATAAATCATGAAAAAATTATCATAAAAATAGAATTAGTTTTATAACAAGTCTTATTTTTGAGATAGTGGAGGAGAGCACGAAGGAGATAGTGCGAAAAGCGGCGGCGGCAGTGGGTAGTTTGCGCGACGCTGAGTTCGATGTAAGATTCAATCCGGATGTGTTTTCGCCCGGCGTCAAACATCCAGATCTTAATGGCTTCGATCTGAAGAAGCAGAAACAACTAGTAAAGGATGCTGCAGATTTCTTGCTCACAGTGCAGTTACCGACATTCGTAAGTTTATCGTAAAAATTTAGCACACATTTTTAATATTTCTGCAACTAGATCCAAAATGTGGACTATTTCTGACTGTACTCACAATTGCACAATTGTATCTTTTTTTTTTTAAGTAAATGTTTATTTCAGATTCGGGAGTGTTTGGATCATACGGCGGCTGCGATGGACGGTAGTACATTAGTGGAGGCTCTTCACGGTAGAGGCATTAACGTTCGCTATCTTGGTAAATTGGCGGCTATGTTAGCCGCAGTGCCACAGTTGCATTATCTTAACCGCATTGCTGTATCCGAACTGATACTTCGATCGGCGAAACATATTTTCACCTCTTATATGCAGGTAATTATACAAAAATAAAATTATATGTTTAAGAAATATATCAAAAAATTGTGTAAATGTATCATTTTACAGGGTACGGATTTGATGAATTTGTCCGCGGCCGTTAGTCACTTTCTGAATTGTTTGCTGTCTTCGGCACAGATTATACATCCACAACAAAATCTAGAAGAGGTACGTCGTCGCACTTTTATAATTTACGCACAGTTATTATACTATAATGATATAACAATAAAAAGGATCGAAATTTTGTTAATTTCAAATAATAATAATAAAGAACAATAATTACTAAGATTATGTTTTATATAATTAAATTTCAGGAGATAAATTGACATAAATTTTGTATTTCAGCTTCAAAGCAAAACTGCCAAACGCCGCAATAAACGTAAGGGGAGAAACAACGGGCCGCAACAGTTAGAAGTAGAATGGGCATCATTGACGCCTAAATCATTGTGGCAGCAAATTAAGAGTGATTTGAAAGCCTATTACGACTGGGAAACGCCGAGCCCGGAATCTCTGGAAGCCACGATAGAACACTTTCATCTACAAAAAATTTCATTGCTACGTGGTTTCTGTATTAAGACTGGCATTCAAATACTATTGCGCGAATATAACTTCGAAAACAAGAACCGAGCAACTTTCTTCGAAGAAGATATATTGAACATTTTCCCCGTCGTCAAACATATCAACCCTAGAGTAAGTCATTGATCTTAAATGAATATAAACGAGATGATTAATGCAGAAAAACTATATATAAGCGTTAAATCTTAAAAGAACGAATATTTTTTATTCAAATTAATATTCGGAAATATAAAAAACTTTTAAATCTCTCTCTCTCTCTCTCTTAAAAATCTCTAAAGAATTTTTATTTTAATCGAAGCTGCGGATTAAAGTAAAGGAATTGTTTCAACTCAACTTTTAGGCTAGCGACGCGTTTAATTTTTACACCACTGGTCAAAACAAAATTCAACAAGGATACTTAAAAGATGGATACGAATTAATCAGCGAGGCGCTGAATCTCCTTAATAACGTTTATGGTGCCATGCATCCTGAAATTGCACAGTGTCTTAGAATGCTAGCGAGATTGAATTACATAATGGGCGATCATGCGGAAGCACTTGCTACTCAGCAAAAGGCAGTCCTCATGTCGGAGAGAGTCAATGGTATCGATCATCCGTACACCATTACAGAATACGTAAGTTATACCGATCATACTAAAATAAATGACAGTTATAATGATAACAGTGTAAAGAAATAATTCTATACGTTATACACAACTATATGGCATATGAAATTTACTATTGAATTGTATAGAAAATTAAACAATAGTATAAATAATATATCTCTCTTTTAGAATTTAATAATTATATTATTTTGTACTTGTAGATACATCTCGCCTTATATTCCTTTGCCAACGGGCAAGTATCTGTATCATTAAGATTATTATACAGAGCACGTTATCTAGCATTATTAGTCTGCGGTGAAGACCATCCAGAAGTGGCCTTGCTCGATGTAAGTTTAATCTTAGATAATTATTAGGAATTCCCCGTGTAAAAATTAAAAAATTATTTTTATATTACACATTTACATACATGAAGAGCAGAATTCCAAAATGCATTTTGTCCAAAATTTAATTTTTGTTTAGTTAGAGATGGCATAGTGTTCAGTGTTGAAAGACTCATATTATAAGCTACTCTGAGATGTTCAGAAAGCAATTTATCATCGTTAATTTAAGTTTTATTGTGTGATGCATTTTTAAGGCAACATAAATTTCCCAAAAAATTAATGTTTGAAATACAACATCGTATTTGATTTTTGCAGAGCAATATTTCACTGATTCTGCACGCGGTCGGCGAATATGAGCTATCGTTGCGATTCCTAGAGCACGCATTAGCCTTGAATTTACGTTATCACGGTCCTCATTCGTTGAAGGTCGCGGTATCATATCATTTAGTGGCACGCACGCAGTCATGTATGGGCGATTTCCGAGCAGCGCTGAACAACGAAAAGGAGACTTACGCAATTTATAAGCAGCAATTAGGCGAGGAACACGAGAAAACGAAGGAAAGCAGCGACTGCTTGCGGCACCTGACCCAGCAAGCGGTCGTGTTGCAAAAAAAAATGAACGAGATCTACACGGGCAAGTCAGGCGTAAGCCTGCCACCGATTCAGGTGCAGCCACCCAGCATGGGTTCGGTGTTGGATATGCTCAATGTCATCAACGGCATTCTCTTTGTGCAAATCAGTCAACAGGACATCGATAACTTTAAGGCGGAGATCGAGAAACGACAAAAGGAACAGTCGCCGGATGGCAGCGAGGCTGTCATGGCGATTGCCGAAAAGGATACCAAGAAGAATGATAAAGAAACAAAAAAAATAACAGAGAACGTCGTTAAGGTCGAACAGAAGGCAACAAAAGACTTGGAAACTAGCAAAACTGACGTCTTGGAGTCGGTCGTGGCGGCAAAGAGCTGAGTCTTTCGTTCACGGACGACAAACATTAGTAGTCTTTCCTTTCTTTTTTCTAAGCCCTAGTCCTCCGTTGTGGAAGATGACGATTTCGCGCGAAGATCGTCACGTACGATGTATACATACTTTGTACTTGCACCGTTTTTTGTTATACTGTTTAAACGCAATTAGGACACGAGACAAAAAAAAAAGACAAGATGCAAGATTGCTGTCATGGTGTGTTTGTGAAGATAAAGGGATGAATATATCCGCCGAGATTGAATTTGCATGCGAGACGCACATTTATCTGTTATATGTATATAAAGACGCTGGTGCCATGTCGCTTAAAGAGAGCAATCTTCAACGAAGATTATATCTTCGAGAAGTCAAGATACGTAAAAGAGATTGTTCCCTTTTCGCCATCGCGTGAAATCAAAAAGCAATACATTTTTTTTTCATTTGCGTAGGAGCGACCACGCATTTTTTAAAGGCTCAAGTTATTTACCATGCAAAAAACCGGTGATACGATATGTCGACGGTACCGGTCGTTAATTCGTCAGATTAAATAACGTTCAAACTCGATCAAATTCATATTAGACTCTCGAAACTAATTACCTTTATTTTCCCTATTATTTTGTAGAGCGAATTCGCATTCTTTTCTACTTTTTCTTGAATATAATGCTGATTAAAAGCCGCATACTTTACATTTAAAGCATACACAAACAGATGAATTCAGTTAATTTTTGTATAACACTTTTTTTCTCCTTTCACAGATTCGAAAATTCTTTTCCAGGATTAAAGTATATACATTAATACGTGTTTCTGAGGTGGAATTTATGCCGAGAACGACAAAAAATTTCGAAATTGAAATCTTAAGAAAAAATTTTTGTCGTTCTCGGCATAAATTCCACCTCACAAACACGTATTAATGTGTATACTTTAATCTTGGAAAAGGATTTTCGAATCTGTGAAAGAGAAAAAAGTATTTGTTATACAAAAAAATTACAACTTAGTCGATAATACAGACGACTTTACGATCTCCTTAAGAATAATTTAATATTTTACCACAATGCTTGGTAAATACTAAATTATGTCGTTATTGTATTTTGTCAATTATAATTGTACACAAGGTATACCCAGGCTTTAATGTGCATTAATATAGGGTAACTCCGGTATATACGCCGCACCTATCAAAAACTTAATTTATTAAGTATTATTTACTATGTTTATAGTAAACGAACTATATCAGTAAAAACTTTGTACTGTCTACTACAATGAAAAAAATATTAGAAATTCGAAATATTTATTTTTCATATTAAAAAATAAATTTTTTGAAACCTTGTATTTTTGCCACGTATCTCATAGGGATGGAATATATGGCTACTCATAGGGGGAAAGGGGGTATGTACGGCTCATGAAAAATTTACAAATAATGCAAACATGCTTAATAATACAAACATGCTTTACTATTCCACTACACGTATGTATCACGAAATAACCACTAAGTCTTTTACACGTCCTACATTAATTATTTTATGTAGATTATAACTTATGATGGCGTTACTTATTACAGTGACAAATCGATTCAACTCACAATAAATTCATTAATATTAACAGTAAGAAGCTGAAATCATAACACAATACTAATATAACATAAAGGCATGTAACAGAGTAGTTACGGGAAAATTACCTCCACTCCTATTTGTTCTGACTTCTGCGGCGTAAATCCCAGCGCGGCGTATTTGCCGGAGTTACCCTATGTATTATAATATAATACATTACGTACTGTTATTTGCGAATTCGCTTTTAATAACATTTTATTTTGTCTTTTCTTTTTCCGTGATCACGGTTTTGTGCCATTTAGACATGTTTCCACAATCTCAATTGCCACCGAAAAAAAAAGTGAAAATATTACAATTTATATTGTAGTTCATATAAATATAACTCATCTCTTTTCATCTTTTATTAATCCGCGAAAAGGTGCTTCCATATTTTTATAGATACTCTTGAATTCAAGTTTTTCTTAATGCGCTTGATATAAAAATATATTATACATCTTTAATTCGGTATTGAAAATGGTGGTAATGAGAGTACGATGCAGTGAATGACATTGTTATTTGATCATGTAATTAAGGACACCAATGACCAATTGTTAACTGAGTCATTGCGAATAGTAGTTGATTTCAAGTTCCGCGATTATAGTTTTAGGATCATAAGGAATCGATTGTTACCCTGCTGTTAATATTAATTATAATTCGTTTCACCCGCTCTACGGATCTATCCGCGGCGATCCGGAATCTCTCGCCGCGGTTCGATCGAAGAGCGATATACCGCGATATTGATTGCCCGATAGTAGCGAAACTTTTGATTTTGTTTATTGAAGAAAATAGTGCTAATTATTTCGCAATCCTCATAGATTCTATGCGAGATTTCAGGCCTGAAAAGAGCAATTTTTCTGCAGTGATGGCAAACGAACGTTCAATTAATCAGTCAATCAATCTGCCGCCGACTCTCGACGGACTCATTTTCACATTGCAATAATAATCATAATGAAAAAAAATTACCATATTGCACTTATAATAATTAGCCAAATTGTACTATAAAGGGGAATAGCAAAAAAAAATTATAAGGGGGGATATAGTTACACACAAAAAACTTCACATATATCATGAAATAAAAAAAAAACGTTACAAAAATTTGATTACATATACTATCTTATTGTAGATTTTCTTTAACATATTGCATGGAATAAATTGTTTTATATGTAACACGGCGATCTAATTAAGAATTTTCTTCGTAATTTTCTGCATCCTGTTTATTGTTCGCTAAATTCTTTCTGTTGCCCGAATACAACTGAAGTAACGCACTCTTCCATTAGCATTCTTTACTAACCCTTTTTTTCTTTCTCTTAGTCTTCGATGGATTATCTAGAATCTTTTCCTTCACTTCCAATTTGTTTATCAGATACTGTCGCAACGAATGTAACGCATCCAAACCGCCATATCCATTCTCAAACACCATCCATATCCTGAGTATTTCATCAGGTTGCGTAATTATATCCTGAGAATTGTTGCGGCTTTCTGCTTCTACCCAAAATTTACAAACAAGCAAGGGACCGTTTTTGTCACGTAATTCTTTATCAGAACTTTCTTCATCTGAATTTTTTGCACTATTTCCAGTTTCAATTGAAGTTTCTTCGGCGCATGTATTCGCCTCAATACATTTGTTATTTTCACCTTTTACTCTTTTTAACGCGGATTGTTGCGCTAAACGCCGCTTTCTGCGCATATGTTCCCACGATCTTTTTCTAGCAGTTACTTGACATGCCCAACTATCGAAGTTATTCTCAGAAATGGGTATGTCTTGTAACTTGATCTGTTGATAATAAAATGAAACGTAACAAATATTTTTTAATTAACTCTTAATTGCAAATAATCAATAAATTTAATATCAGAAGTAAAGAAAATGATACATTACGTTCAACTCTTTCGCTGTTACTTTTAAAAAACTAATTATATCGTCTATACAGGAAAATTTATCATTCACAGGAAATGTTATCGAGGTTTTATAATTCTTTAACGATCCCACTATAGACTTCCCGTGTTTTCTAATGACAGGTGCTGTAGTCAAGTTTATAATGTTTTGCGGAAGGAAGCTCCAAGCCAAACCCCATCTGTTGACAAAAAAAGCCTTAAGCTTCAAAATAATAAATGATTAATGATATAACATACTCGATAATTAGAGTTAATAATTAAACTTATATTAATGGGTTTTACATACAAAGTTTTTTTAATGTAATATATTTATTAACTTAATATATTGATTTGTACCGTGTTGTGTGGCCCTGGCAGAATTCCGTCCATATCATATTCTTTATATTTTTCGATCTTAACAATCGTCTTAAGCTAGCCAAGTCAGTTTTTTTGCCAATCATTGTGCTATAGATCTTTACTTGATCTCCCATCTCAACACTCTCATCGATCATCTTGGTCACAAAGCACACTTCACCACCTTCGGTTTTCAGCTCGCTGTCATTTCCAGTGGGCGCGTTTCTCGGTGGTAAGACTTTTTCGACTTTTTCGAAGTCATTATCCTCACTCTCAAAAAACGGTGGATTGCACATTGAGAAATCATAAACTCTATTATCCTGCACTATGTCCTTAAAAATTCTATCGGAGTTCACTGTAATTACTACATCAGAAAATCCCGTTATGTGAAATAAAGTTTTAATTTTAATTAAAAAATAAAACTAAATTTTAATTTTAAAAATATTCATTTTTCATAGTTTTTTTTTGTTTCAATATGAAAGAAAATGTTTAATAGAACCTACTTTCAATTAAATCTTGTAATTTGTTTTTCTTTATGCATTTCTGGGCATGCTTTATACTTCCTTTGTCAACTTCTGTGCCAATCATGTGACACTTGTAGATTTTTGCCAGTAATAGAGCATATATGCAGACTGCTCCGGTTCCTATTTAAAACGAAATTGTTCAGACCTCGTATAGCAGTCTAAAATATTATATTAAACATACAGGTATATATTGTAAGATGGATAGCATTCGTTACTGTAACATAATTTTGAAAAGTATAATATTACAATAATTCCAATTTTTTTTCTACTTTTCAAGTGCAACGTTTGGATGTTTTGTTAAAAGCATTTTCAAAAGCAGTCTTCTAATCACCAATGTCAATGCCCGTAACCTTCTCCATTTCCAATTTGGAATGAGTCATCAAGTCTTCTATCCATAGAATATAATTTAAGCGTAGTGAAATCGCCGGATTCAGATTATCTGCTGGAATATCCACGTGCAGGTCGAAATCATGTTTCAGAAGCGTCTCTGTAAGTACATGCAGGCTTCTTCTCTCTTTGAAGTCAATCCTAACCTTTCCTGTGAAGTCCTAAGCAATCAATAAATCAATCAATATGGATAAAAAGCATATATATATATATACACATATATATGCACACTATTGGTTTTATATCATATCTGAGTGTTACATTTATATTTTCTTCAGTCATAAAAATTGCACAGAAGTTGAAAAAAAGAAATAATGTAAGAGAATGTAAAAAAAATGGTACTTTTTTCTGTAATACTTGAATTTATATGTTCATTTATACTTCATTAATTTTTTCCTTTATCTTTTTTTAAATCTAAAGCTTTCTAAAGCTAAATATTGTATTATACTTACATTATATTATTAAATATTTACAATAAACATAAGATATCCATGTAATATATTATAGATTATATTAAATTTCATCTGCATTATAAATATAATGTATAAATTGTAAAGTATACACATTGTAGTACCATGATAGCGATTTCACGAAACTCCGGGTACAGGACGGCGAGTTGCTTGTAATCTGGCGGTCGTTTGTACTTGTTTCTCGGGTGAATATATTGCTTCACGCTCATCGTGATCGAAAGGAACAATCTTAACTGCCTGTTTGTTGGATCACGACTGCCAATTCACTACGACCAAATACAGCCTGTCCAGCTTGTGTTTTTCGCAAGAAAGTGCATAAAACGCATGAAACGCATCGTCAGATTTGTTTACTCGTATCATCTGATTCTCATTGTCGCCATTGAAAAGATGCGACATCGAGAACGTGGACTCGTTTCCATCTTTTGAATATTTGCCGCCATTCTGCCATGAGTTGCCACCTTTTCGATTTCGATATTTTTGATTAATGTTCCATCAGAGATCAACAGGTCTGTTCTTTTTGGCTCTTTCTTCCTTTTTTCTCTAAGAAGAAAGAAGAAGAAGAAAGATAAACTGATGCAAAAGAGTTCAACCAAAAAGAACAGGCCTAATGGTTACACAATTTTCATAAAAAAAAGAGGGGGTAATGTTGGCAGCAACAAAAACCCTTGAGGCACCATAGTTTTATTTTCTACGGATTGGTAATATTTACAAGTAGTAATCCGTTAGTTTGCGCCGATCATGGTCGATCGAGTGTAAAAGTAGTGTAATTACATGATAATTCGTGAACTGTTCGCGAACGGCTGTCATCGCGGAGGTTTCGTGTTTTGACAGTTATGTGTATCAAGAGGTTAATAACGTCTTCGAGGTTACTCAGATAAGTTTCATTAAATATTTTCATTACAAAACCTTTATTCTTACTATTTCATTAAAAATCGATACTTTGTGTTATATATTTTATTTTCAGTTATTGGTTTTCGGTCTAACACTATCAACGATGTTAAATTGTGTATAGAAAAGAAGGGATTGAAAAGAAAGGAAAATTAAAGAGAAAGAGAGGAAAAGAAGAAAGAGAGAGGAAAAGGAAGAGATGTGGAAGGAAGTATAATCTAAATAAACCTGAATCAGAGTGGATAATCACTGATAGCAGTCCCAAGGGTGCCATTGACAATGGCAATCAATTTGTCATAATATTTGTAATACAATTGTATTTTATATTTCAGCGGAGCACATAAAAGTATTCAGAATGGAAAGATAGAAACATTTTTTATATTTTGTTGTTTAGATAATAAGCTTGATTGTCAATCTTAATATTTGAAACACAAAATACAAAATATTTTTATGTACTCTTTGATCGGCGCAAACTAACGGATTACTACTTGTAAATATTACCAATCCGTAGAAAATAAAACTATGGTGCCTCAAGGGTTTTTGTTGCATAAAGTTAAAAAAAAATTAATATTGCGTAAGAATTAATATTATATTTGTGAAATCTATAGAAATGATATTACATTGAGTGTACAAATTGTCTTCAAATAAAAGGATCTTTCCTCTTATAAATCAGATTTAAAATTAGAAATTATGCAATATATTTTAAACATTAGCGCATTAAGAATTATCTGTTATAATATATAACTAATTATATAATAATGCCAATGTATTATAATTTCATTATATACAGGGTTGGCTTGTAACGCCGTTACTTTATTGATCGTTACCTTGTTATAATAATGATTTGGTAATGACATTGTGAATGTTTTATGATGGTAATGCCATCACTAACATCAGAGTTAGAAAAGTCAATCGTTACTCGTAATGGATTAAAAAAATTAGTTACTGAAAAAAATAACTCTTAATTTGTAACGCGTTACTTTTTAGTAACGAGTAACGTTACGCGTAACGTTACTCGTTATACTTATAACATTTTCAGTGTAACACGTAACAAGTTACTTTCAAAGTGACTTTTCTAATCTTTACAACACACCTTAGCGTTACCATCATAAAAAATTGCGACATCGTCATCAAATTATTTATTATAAAAAGTAACGACAAAGAAACTAAAAAGTAACGTTTGCCCTGATTTTACATATATTATACCATTTGTTTATGTATATTGTTTATATATATATACCATTTGTATAATATTTATTAAATAACAGTACACGGTTTTACGGAGCAAAATTGTACTATTGTTTTAATAAACAAATTATCACTTTTTAAACAAATACAAATACATTGTTAATTAATTATATAACATAATTGCCAATTTTGTAACATTCATTATTTATATTTTAAGGAGAAATATTTGTAGCTTCAGTGAAAAAAGGTCATTTTTGCATCTATTCTAAATTTATTTCATAAAATCTGATGGAAAAGTCTTATAAAGCTTATAACATGAAAAAATCTTACAAAGTTTATAGCTTGATATTTCTTTAAAGTAAGGAGCAAATTTATATTCATTGTCTATTTTATTTACGATGCCCCACATCTCGCATAGTCGTAACTTCAAACTTATAGGAAAGACTTGGGAAATGTATAACTCATAGATATAATTCCAGAGTATACATATCGGAGTTTTTCCTCCACTTCTATCGCTTTTCTTGTTATCCAAGCAAATAGCAAAAGCCATAAGCAGGGAAAGTGGAGTAGAATCTAACATAGGAATAATGAGAGCGAGCAATGGTGAATGAAAGACTTTAGGAAGATCATGATTAGGAAATATCAAACAAGAAGGTAAAGAAATTTCGACAAAGTTATGATATAAAATTGAGAATGTAATGCTTGGGAAAGAATATGCTATTCTAAACCAACTGATAAGTCCTTCTAAATCCTTATAACTCACGGTTTCTGGTTGATAAATATCGTCATATATATTATACTTTTTCCTCATTATGCTGGCTAAAATAGTCACTAATGAAAACTCCCTATCTTTATATGATTCACTCATTACTATAGTACAATACAAATAGCATATAATGATAATATCCTCATAAAACATCATATTATTGGAAAAGACATATTCCTTTTCTTCATTGTCAGAATTATATTTATAAACAAATTTGTGAACGTCTGAAGGATTTTTTAAAATTATTTTCACGGTTTGTCCATGCATTTCTATCATGTGCTCGATAATTCTTCTTGGACTGAACATTTTTGTAGGGACAAGCCCGCTAGTGTCGGGGAATAAACTTAGTAGTCCGATCTCGAGGATACAAGTAGGTCGACCAGTAGATTTTTTGTTTAGTACGTCTACTAACGAGCGTAATGGACATGTATTCCTCTCGTACTTGCGTATACCTTCGAATACATCTTCTTCAAACATTGTTTTATCAAATCAGGTTAACGCGTGTTAATAAATTGTATTTGATAAATAATCACTCTTCAATTTCACAATACAGTTCCAGGCAACTTAATCTCTAGCTTATTCAAATTTCTCAAATTTTGTCCCTTTTCTTTAATGTCGTATAATGACAGTCCAACAAGCACGTACAAATTCAGCATCTACGTTCTAAAATACATTAATTCACACTATTTTCAAAATTATATGATGATTACACTGTTTGACAAAAAGTGACTTTTTTTCGAACACCGAAACAAGACTAGTCATTTTTAATAATTTTTTACATGTTGGATACGAATGTGTTCGTGGTTCAAATTATTCCATTACGTAACAATTTTAACAAATTTCCAATTCAATTTGTAAAAAAAAAACTGCTGTTATATATAATATTTTAATTGCGATATATGATGTACTGGAGATGTTTTATTTCAATCAAAGTTAAGTATGTTGTTATGACTTTCAGCTCTTGAAAGAATTTTTTTTAGTGTCGATTACGATTAATAAAATGTTCGTAGTTATAAATACATGGTTTACTTATACGGAAAAGCTGTGAAATCATTAACAATTTAATAAATAATTTCCTACACAGGGCGTTTGATAATTCTGCCGACAATGCTCGTGAGCAGGTAGAGCAGGCTAAACTGAGAGAGAGAGAGTCAAAAAGTTCTGTCCCATTTTGCAAGTTTCGTAACGTAAGATTCACAAGAGTTGCGGTCCAATTAGAATCGAGCTAGCTTGACATTGATTAGACTGCAAAACTTGCGATACGCTGCGACGCTGCGTTGCAACTATAAATGTATAACTTTATTATACATGATAAAAGATTGCGCAACATAACGATATAATCGAATTATCGTTAAGAATTATAAAATCGGAGTACAGCATGTATTGTTATAATATGACAAATGTAAAAATAGTTTTGGATCTTTAAACGTTAATTTCACAAAATTGTGACGTGATGGAACAATTTAAAAGCTGGATTCGGTATTCATGTCCAAAAGACTACGATAAGTGACTGTACAGTTTCATTCTGTTTTTTCTTGTTGAACAGTGTTATTAATACATAAATATAATTATTTAATAATTTAATATATCTACTCATATATTTATTTTGTTTATTGGTGATTATGAAAAGATATAATATACATAAGAAAAATTACATTGTTTCGAATGAATTTAACTTTTGTACTTGGAAATACCAACAATAAATGTTTAAAATATATACTTGAGCAATTGATGCATTGCAGAAAAATATCACTAAAACTGGAATCGCTTTATCTTATTATCGTTAAATCATCGTTAACTTACCTTATCGTCGAAGAATTTATGTCTGTTCTAATAAATAGTTAATAGAGTTATAAGTAATAAGTATTAAAAGAGTTTTCTCGATGGTGAAAGACTGAGAAATAAAATCAGGAAAGGGCATAAACAAATACAATACATTAAGTAAATATACATGCTAACTATACATTTAGCTATAGTGCTTGTTGGATTTTACGGAATTATAAAAATTAGAGAAATATTTTCTCATGATAGCGATATTGATAGAAAATAACTTAATTTTGTTTGCTTCTTTCTCATCTTTATTCCTATATATATGTATGCGTGGAAACATGCACATACTCTTTATAACTTATTATAAATATATAATAAACTTTATCGTTAGTACTTCGAGGCGCGAAAATTAAATCCATTTGAAATAATATATAATATATTTTTCTTACCGAAATGTTCCGCCATTATCAGTAATATATTAATTGACCTATTAAAACATTATTCTTGTTAAAAAAAGAGTACTTCGAATAATTAATAAATTTTTTGTTTAAATAATATCCGAATAAAGAAAAAAAAAACCAGAACTATGTGTTAAATAATGTATTAATATATTAATGAAGTTTAAAAAATAAGAAATGCTGTTCTAAATCTAAATATATATTATCTAAATATATTATTTTTGATGTTTTCTCATTATTATTATTTTCATTACACTAAAAAGTAATTTTACAAAAGAAAGAAGGATGTATAATGAAATATGTACGGATGAATTTCATATATAATTATATATGTTTATGAATATTTATACATGTTTATGTATGTTTATACATATTTATATATATTTATGAAAAATTTTTTACAGGGAAATATAAGCACTTCGTTCTTTACAATTTTGTACTCTATGCAAATTGTTTATACGTTATCTATATTGCACTGTATACGTTGTTATATATATATATATTTCACAAAGTACATGTGTAATGTAATGTTAATGGTGATGATACATTCCTGGTTTAAAAAAATCCCATAAATACACTATTTCAACAAAATTAAAGGATCATCTACTGTTCGACTCTGTAAAAACAGGCAATTCGTCAAAAATCATCGTATCGAGATGTTTAAAAAAGCATTTTACAGCTTGAAATCTGTTCTTTCCAGATACTTTAAAAAATGGTCTTACTGATATTTTGTGAAATTATACAAACATAAATGAAGATGCATTAAATCTCAAAGTTTTTTACGAAATTGCGAAATCCCACAGCGTGAATTAAAAATTGCACATAAACGCGGTTTACAGTATTCGAAAGAGTGAGTTTTTACCCTTAATTTGCTTTTTCATTGAGCTCTGTACGATTTTTTTTCATCGAGTTATTCAACATCGAAGCAAAAGAAGGTCGGTTTTGCTTCAATTTTGAATAACTCGATTAAAAAAAATTATTGAAGCTTAAATGCCTAATTTAAAGTACTTTTATATTAAATTTTGTCTGATAATGTTTCATCAAATTGCAGTGCTTTAAAGCAAGACAAAAATATTGCAAAAAATATCAATATTCAATTGTATGTAATTTAGAAATAAAATGTACAAAAATTTTGAATTTCAAGCCCTATCTTTGCACTTTAGAACACGTAATCGAAAACTTCTCTATAATTTATTTTTCACCGAGATATTTAACTGTTTACAAAATGCGAAAAAATCGCAAATGTTCCCAAACTTTTGAAGATGTATATACATCTATGTATATGTATATACATCTAAAATATATACAATACACATACACATACATACGGATTAAAATTAAATTAGGAAAATAAATTAAAACAACATTGTATTAAATTATAAATTTATTACATTAAAAGTAACGCTCATATACCACGTTAAATTGTCAAAGACTTTTCAAACAAAACTGTATATATCTAAATCGAAATTTTGTATGGATACACATAAGATGATTTCATATTTGGCCATATCGAGATTCGCGACACAATGCACATAACATCGTGGAATTAAGTATTGCAAAAGATATCAAATAGTTCTTAGATTAGTTATAATTCAATGAGAAACACTCGACTGTACTTTGGGAATTATTTTTTACAGTGTACAGTATTATCTTATTCCATTTTTTGCTTACAAAAACTAGCTGAGTATATCAAATTTGTAACGATATATCATTACCTTCTGATCGGAGCAATGTCTGACTGATCAAAAAGTATATGTTTCATGCATGTGAAATTAAATATCGAAAAGAACAAATCCTTCCATTTAACTTATAATCTGCTTTAATAAAAATATGACAACCTAAAGATGATTACGTCATTTGGTCCAATTGCGACACAATTTAGTAACAGTTCTTGTCCTCTTATATTGTAATTATAATTAAAACACAAACTCTATGTAAGTCTGTGGATTAAAATATATAATAAATTTAATGTACATAAAGAATTAATTCCATTAACTTAATGAGAGAGAGAGAGAGAGAGAGAGAGAATTTTCTAAAGTATAAATCTGGTAAGATTTATACTTTATATTATTTAAGTTTATTATTTACGATCAACAGAGGGCAAAAGCAGTTACTTTAATAAAATATGAAACTTTGTATATACGTACAATTCTTGGAACATAGCTTAATGTTTGCTGTAATAATTATACATATATAACATAAAATTGTCATGTTAGTACTCACGTTCAACATAAGTTATAGTCGATTTCAAGTATCGAAGCACAGCCATTAAAAAAATAATCCTCTGACTTTCTGTCTAAAAATTATTGTCCGAGACTCATCAGATTATTTGTGGATATTTTGATAATTCTTTGTATTCGGAAAAGATCTTCGCGTTGAATAAAAAATCGCATGTACTATTAATTCGCACGTACAGATATAAAAATTATTTCAAAAGATATTTTACATTTGATAAAAATATATCGACAACGTAAAATAATAAAGAAACTTAACATCTATAACAGCAATGATAATGTAAAATAATATTGATTAAATAGGATCACATCTTTGGTACAATTTGTCATTAGTATCAATATGTCAACGAACACCACCTTTATCGTGCTAATAGCTATGGCAAGATGGGGCCAAATATATTCTGATTATATATTAATTTCTTATCATCGACGATAATATCGTAAGCCTCTGAAACAGAACGAGATTTATGTTCTCCTTGTTTAACATTATATTTAATAAATCTCGTGTTAATCTCTAATTTGTTATTCATAAAAGCATATTGTACAGCTACATCCCCATAACAGTCTTCAGTTTTAATATATACGTATTAAATCCTTCTAGTCTCTTTCTTAATAATGAAATTTTTCAAGTATATATTTTTATCATCCCAAGTAATAACAATCAAATTCGTCATTTGTTACTGTTTAGTAAATCTGTTCTCTTGTTAATATTTCTATCCATGAAAAGTTTGATCATTCCAATTTCGTCAATATAATTAAAAACATCACAATAACAGTTAAATCGTTACTGATAAAATTGAAAAGCCGGACGTACCATTTTTAAGATTAAAAATATTTCGTGATTCGCGATATTTATCGAAAGTACTTGCAACAAATTAATGTACATCGATACGTTTTGACAAATATTAACATATACTCGAAATTCCATGGGTCAAGCTCTTCTCGAGGACAATGTGGAACTCGCTCAACGGTTCAAGAATATGAATAAGAAAGGTCAGTAATGTGGGATTTCTTAAAAACGAATTCTCCTCATACATATCCATTGTAGAACGCGCATCGCTCATCGGCCGCAACATTGGATGAAGAAGTTGTTCTCTGAAAATTACATTGATGAATGAATATAAATAACAACGAAAAACGAATTGAGAGTGAATAATCGCGTTAAAAATTTTTCACAAACTTACCTCGCCGCTAAACAAATAAATAACTGAAATTTTTTTCCCTAAAGTTTGACTGAACATATTGATCTGATCGATGAGATGACAATAACATCTCAAGATCGTAAATCTTTGACTGCTTTCTGTGAATACTCTTCTATCGCGGTTGAGCCTTTGAGAATATTCATCCATTTCCTCCAACAGGGAAATCTCAAAATTTTCTTTTATGCGTACTGCAATAGTTTCAATTATACATTTTTCTAAGATCAGTTTTCTAATATCACTGAATACGATTAAATTTTTACTCACAGAGATAGTCCCATACATAAAAGTTCCTTCCAAATATCCTTTGATTTTTAAAGCCAAATAAAAATATTTGTTCTAAGGACGGTACGAGTCCTCCTTCTCCACATAATAGTGCCGTCAAAGAACCATCTTGACATTCTCTTCTGTAGTGATATTTGACTATGGCGTTTACGGCTTCGCCTGTAATATTATATTTAATATTATTTTACTTAATTTCTAATAATCTAATAATTTTAAATTAATTATATTAAGAACTTTGTATCATCTTTTATTCTGTTATGCTATATAAATTTGTTATTTGTATATTAATAATATATATATAACAAGCTCTTTTTACTTTTCTAAATAATGTAATTTTCTATATTACAAACAATTCGAAGAGGAAAAACGCCGATACTAACATAGGTTTTCTAAAGAAATATCCTCTTATTTCTCGGAAGTATAAGTATTGTACTTTACTAATACTGATAAAAAACATGATCTGTTTAGATGATTATAATATCAATTTACCGAGCATATGTTGCAGTTCAACTTGCGAGAATATAGGACGTCTAGGTATACTTGGAGATCTACATCTTGGAGGCGTGGAACATGACTCAACCAACTCCTCGCTATCAATGCTTCGAGGTACTAAAGCACCCACTAATAAACGCTCGGTAGACCCATCATCTATTCCTCTGCCAAGCCAACGACCACAGGGAAACTTAAACGTGTGTCCAGTCACTTCGTTTCTCACTACAACGTGCTCCACCATCCATTTTGGCGATAACCCAGTATTATCATGTCCAATCCGTAACGTAGACAATACGCCTAAATTTTTATGCTAAAAAATATATATAAAGAGATGATTACATGATTAAAATATATTTAATAAAATTTATTACACGGTACTGAGTTTAGAAAAAATTTTACTTATAAAATATTGAAAATATAAGCATTTACTATTATGTAATTTTTACATATAATAAAAGTAAATTTCAAACAAATACATTAAAAATATTTGATGTTATCAATGAAAATGAAGTTACAAGTAGCTTAAATTTAATGTTCACTTGTATTAAATTCGCATAGAATTTAATGGAAAATGCATTATATTTCATAAAATTTTATGAAAAGTACACTAAATTTCATGTAATGTATACAAATATACTTTTCAGTTACAGATACATTAAATTTAATTTAATGTCAAACTGGGAAACTGAATTTAATTTGTGTAAACTTAAAAATACATTAAATTTCATGTCATTTTTAATAATAAAACTAAAATACTTACATGAAATACAAATTCAAGTGCTCCCTTTGGTATGGGTACGGGATTAGTTTCGCAGAGTGTGCCAGAAATAGCAATCCAACTATTAGCCGAAGTAGTAGCAGCGCTTGCCTTTCGACTGGGAAATATCACAACTCGATACGGTAACTTCGTCGTTGGATAGTTATTCGTGAAACAAAAGTAATCGACGGCGTTCAATGTTAGAAGATGATACAAGAATTGCTCTTTCTCTTCTTCACAGCGCAAAAACGCTGATCGTTTGTACTGGCTCCTAATAAATCATAAATAGCGAATTCAGTTGGACGTACTAGTGCGCACGAGTGAATATTAAAGCTGCTGTACACTGATTGTGTAAAAGTAAAATGCAAATATTTCGAATTATAAAATCCAGATTTTACTTAACAGCATAATAAAATGTATTGAGGATTTCACGATTTAATTCATTTTTATATTTATATCAAACATATATTGTTTACAACAATTTGTGTACGATGGCTTTAATGTGCACCAGTGCGCACTGAGTACATCTAATCGAATTCGCTAAAAAAATAACGAATTATATTAATGTCCAAAAAGATCATTATTTAATATAGTATAAGTTCCATTTAATAACATTAATAAATATCGCTCCTAATATCATTATTAGTGTCAATTAGCTATTGTGTCAATACTATCACATATGCATATGTGATAATGACCGTAATAATTTAATAATTTCTAAAATGCACCTTAATAAAGCAATATCCGACAATAACGTCTTCAAATGACGCGACAGCAATTTCTTTTCAAGCGCTAACCGCACCCACGCTCTAGCATATCCAATGTGTGTTTTAATATCAGTCATCGCTTGCACGTTGCGGATGTCGAAGATTAGAGAATCCGGGAGAGGTCTCAAGTGTTCAGGACCGATGGTTTTCCTCTCACTAGGAGATTTGTGCTTATCCGTGCCTCGTGTGGGTGAAACGTCCGTCTCCAATTGCAAATTTGACAAATCTATCATAATGTAAAATATTTTAGATATCAGCATTTCTCAAGTTATAAGCCAAGGGATGCAAACAAAATACACACAAAAACAGTATTCTTCTTGACTAAACATTCATCTAATTATATTTAATACATATTTGCGCATACATTAATAAATACATGCAAATTCAGTAGCATGCTTTGTATAAACATTCGGAAAGACGTATACACACTATACATATACACACTCTCTTAATACATAATTTACATAAAAATACGTTACACACACATACACACAATCATCCTAGATAAGGTTGAATTAAAATAGATTGAAATTTTAATCCATTTAAATCATCCAAATGCGTACTTTAGTAGCATTCATGACCCATTATCACTTTTTTTAGATCCAATTGGATTAAAAAACTGCATTTCTCTCTCTCCTATTCAGAATTTTGAATTGAGCAGTATTTACAATGCACTTAAAGAACTGAAATTTTTTTTAGATTGAAAGGCATAGAAATGTGCTCATGCAGTTCCAGTATAAATAAATAAAAATCCATTGGGATTGAAAAGAATTCATTTCAATGTTCGCGAATGCATACTTCTGAATCCATTTCTTATTTACTGAGACAACAATCTGGCATGCATTCTATTCAATAAAAGACATTATTTGTCAATTTCTTTAAAAATGATAATATTAAAACAATATGTATTTAATAAATGAGTAACTATGATAAATGATTTGTTATTGAGATATATGTTGATCGGGCATTCAAGAATTTAAAAAAAGCCGCTATACTTAATGAAATTAATTCATAAAACTATCTTTTTGTGGCAAGCCAGTATCAAGGCTTACCATTAAAATTGTCCTTGATGTAAGAAGCAATTTCAATAATACTTTTGCCTCTCAAAGATGAAACCAAACGATCCGGTATTCCGAAAAACTTATTCGGAGATTTCTTAGCTAGTTATAACAAAAAATAAAATAAAAAGAAAGAAAAATTAAACATAATGATTAACAAAATGATAAAATCGCTTAGATTATATAAATATATTAAAAATATATTTTTGAAACATTGTCTACTAATTGGGTTAATTTAGACTTTGCGCACGCTAATTCTACTTTTCGTTATTGAATATTTGAAGATACTAAAATAATACGTGCGACGAAGCGTAAACATGTAATATAACTATTGTTTGGTGGATCACTTACAAAACTAACAGTGCAGAGTATCTACGTACGAAGAGAACACTAATCTCTACTTTATAATACTTTAAATTATCTTATTGCAAAACGGAGACACGTACAATCGAGTCGCTTCCGCAGCACGGACCACGCTAGCGCTGCATTTCCACAAAATAGTAATGATTTTATGTAATTTACAATTAAATAATTATTTTCTCTCTTGTATACATATATACATATACGTATATATACATATATCATATCTAAGCGCATGATTATCAAATAAAAAAGATATAAAAATATAATATAGTATATAATACATATTACAATACATATTTAAATCGCAACATTTATGCGATATTAAACCATGCATATCTTACCAGGAGAAAGAAAGTTGGAGTCTATAGATTTAGTCGCGTCATTACATTCTTCCGATTCCTGATACATAGTCAAGTGCGACCAAAGAGCGCTTTTGCCTTGCTTATTTTGCAATCCATGGCTCCATACTCGTTCCAACAGATCACAGAGACTAGCGACCAGAGTATTCTCCTCAACGTCAGACAGAGACTCGCCCCCGTGACCAAGCGCAACGGCTTCCGATCCCATTTTTTCCACTAACATTCTCTTCGTCTTGGACTTACAATCCTTATTATAAAAATAATTTTACAATTTCGGTCACATTTCGTACACATTTCGATGCGTGATATGCAGAATTAGAAAGTATATAAATTCACACAAGAAATATGTATTTAGGTACTAAGATCCGCTTCAACCGAATATAAAATTCTTCTTATTTAAAATTTGATTAATATTTTTAAATTATAAAAAATAATTCTAGATAATAAATGTACATAAAATTTCAATTATGTTAAATAATATTCATAAAATAAAAGTACCTTGAGCAATTTTTCTACAAATGTCCAATTAGCTTGCGCTATTAAAGCAGGGCTCATGTCTGCCGAGAGTTTAGTTTGAGGTCGGGGTGACTGAGATTCTTGGGGTATTGCAGGTTTTCCGTTCGTATCCATAGATTTCATCTTGTATTTCCATTGTGTCTGCCCTCTCCTACTACTGTACAAGCAAAAACAATAAATTTATTATATATTTACGTTATTAGTAATTTACGACATAATTTATTATTACATTTTTTGAAGGACTTAGAGTAAAATGAATCAAATATATGCACTTTGCTATAAGCCTCTTATTTTATTCTGTTTATATTAAATGTTGTTTCTTACCGAAGTATACTATACAGGAAGCACAAAATAGGAATAGCAGACATTAACACATTTGAAAATGGAAGATTATATTGTTTAAATAAAAATATCACAAATAACATACCTTTGAGCAGGTTCCTTATTCAACACGACGTTATCCAGTAACGGAAAACTCCGAAAATATGCGGCTCTATGAGGAAGAATCTCTGTAGGCGGATTTGTTTCAAAATCTATGTTAATTAATCTCTGTTCGAGTATTTGTTGCGTATCTGCGATGCCCGTGCAAGACTCGTATCGCATTGATCGTATAATACTTTCTCCGACTTTTTTCCTAAAATATAGTATAGATAAAACGTGGATTAAAAAATGTTATGTATTTTTAATCTTATTTGTCTAACAATAAGTAGAAGTCGTTTAAAAAAAGTAGAAACAGCATTATATCATTATTATGATTTACTTTAAAGCGGAGATCCTTTGGTCAAAAACTTTAATGTTACAGTCGAGTTCACTCCACGTCGACATGACTTTGCTGTCGACAAGAGAAGCGAACATCTGTGTTTCCAGGAATCTCGACAAAAATGGCAGATGCTGTGTCGGCTGATCAGATAAAAACGTGGCCTTGTCAAAAACATGCATACTATCCCTGTTATTTATCCATTCATCTTTATCCTTCAATGTAAAATTTATTATAACTTTATTATAATTACAGGTTCTAATTTTGTAGAAGCGTTGTATGCCCGTACCTGACTTGGTTGAATAACAAAATGTTCATAACTAGAAAACATTTGTACAAAACGGTTCAAAAAAATCTCCCTAATAGCATTATTAAAAATAAGAGTCTCTTGATATTCTTCTTGCGGCGTGAGTATTTTTTCCGTGGTATCCTCTATAGGATCAATGTCATCCATGTTCACTGTAAGCAGAGAAAAATTAATAACTTGGAAATAATCCTGATAATAATATTTCGCTTTATATATCAAGAAATTGTCTTACCTGGTCTCTTAACAATATCCACTGTTCTTTGCAGATTGTCTGACTGTGGTCCTGGTTCCGGCCGATCCCAATCTAGCACATCGTGCAAAGAATGTTTTCTGCGAGGAAGATGAAAACCAGAACCGGGAAGTGTCAGGCTACTGGTCATGATGTCACCATTGTAATAGTTAATAACCATATTATCAGTCCTATAAAAATTTTGCTCGATTTAGATACAGAATAACAATCGAATTTCTATCTTAATTTAAAAACAAGTAACTCACTTTCCTGAATGTGGTATTTTGTACTTGTTTAGAAGCGCTCTGATCTCATTAATAAATTGCATTTTATGAGGAAACACGGGTAATTCTTCCGGAAATTGGCTACTTTGCTTATCTATATCTACATAACAAAGATTTGCCTGTAATCAGACACGATTGGTATTACTCATAATTAGTAACATACACAATTGCTGAATTTTTCATAAAATATTTTTCTCGAATTTGATAAAAGAATGAAATATAGAGGAAAGATTTAAGCGAACATACTTCGCTAGCGATTTTCAATACACCACCCTCATTGTGCGCATGTAGACCCATTATGAAGGGCACAGGTGCATCTAAGAAGTGATGCAGACTGGCGGGTAATATTGGTACGTAAACGTGTTGCCACGAGAAAGGAAACAAGAGCGCCGTTATGCATTCAGACACCACCATCAGCTTGTGAAAATCAGCGCTTCTCAACAGAACTTGATTCTCCAACAGCACGCATGTGAACAATTGGATTAGGCAATCTGCGCCCAACCACGTGAACACATCTTTGAGAGGATAGTCCAACATTGGTAACTCCAGTGATGAAGACGGCTGATGGATAACCAATTCTAATGGCGATTTTGCCGGTTCATCATTAGGTACAAAAAACTTCAACGATTTACCAGGTAACGGTACTGGTACGTTATACAGAAGATTATACACATAAGATTCTAAGCTAAGACCAGGTCCGGGATGTCTAGGAACACATCTAAAAAAATTCATTCAATTATTTCATAGTTTTTAATGTTATTATAATATACATAAATTGTTGTGCATAAATTCTGCCAAACAGAATATCTATCACTTCTAAAAAATCTCTAGCTTTTAAACGATATCTAAAGAATATACGAAAAACTAATATTCAATTTCTTCATCTGTAGATAACTCTATAAGATATTTTATGAATAAAATTGTCGGCAACTTATCTAGAGATAAAGAAATTAGTCACAAGACATTTTTATCATCGTTGATTAAATATCCCGAAGAAATTGTATAAATATTTCAAATAATCAGTGAACTAAAGACAGCAGTGTTACATATTGCGAGAGTTTTAATTTGACTACGACAGATACATAAAAAATATTTCTATAGCACTTAATAAAGATTGTATGTTTGCACTGTGTCAGTAATTTGCAGAATTTTGTGCTAGAAATACAAACTTAAACACAATATTTGAGCAGCACATCTAACAAAAATTAACAGTAATGAGATAAACAAACTAAAAAAATCCTAATTAACAAATCCTTTTTAAAAAATTAAATTACTATCTTTTATGTTCAATTAACAGACAGAATTTATGCAGCGCTCTGACATTATATTATCACTTGTACTTTTAAGTACTCTTACGAAGCATAGCATAAACGTAGTTATATAAGAAGAATAGAGCTGTGTCAGCTCGTTTCAATGGAGCTTTATAAGACTCGCGAGATATCTTACTTATAGAGATTAGTGAGGAACGTCTTTGTCGCATGGAGGTAAGGTTGTTGGCATAGCAAGGATATTGATTTAGTCACTAGCAACTTGTCTTTGGTAGAATCGTAATATCCTAATGCAGCACCAGGCGAATGAGCCGACAATTTAAAATGACGAGGCAGCGATCTCGTATTATGTCCATCCTGACCCTTCCTCGCACTGCAAAATTATGAAATATGTTTTATAAACTCAAAAATATATATAAGACATTGGATAAGGAAATTTAAATAATATATGCAAGAAAAGAGCACTTTGCATGCATTTCTACGTTTTCCAGTTATCTGTATTTGAAATCATGATTTTTAGTTTATCAAATTCTTAGTTTTTAATAAATTTCGCAACAAGTAAACTTTACTTCAACAAGAAGGAAAAATAAGAATTTCCAAGTTATCAAGAAATTTGACACTGACAATGAAGAGAAAGTAAACATACGTGGGGGGCGTGCCGTTTTGACCGCTGCTGAGCTCCGTGATGTGCATCGCCTGTAGCGTTTGCATAGCGGAGCATATTTTGCGATTGCGGCACTCCTCATAAAAAACGAGGCTGAATCCGTATGTTCTGTGACCATCTTCTTTCGTGAGGACGAAGGAATGGAAGATCGGCTCCACCGAGTGCTTTTGTGTACGAAATCGCAAACCGCTTGGCAGACAAAGCTATTATCAATGTAATCAATAAGTTACTCCCCTCGGCTGCGTGAGACGCAATGTTCCCTAAATCTAATTAGAATTGAAAATACTTCGAAGATGACAACTTTCTATGTGACGTAGAAAAAACTTTTATATTTTTACATTATTAATTTAATTAATTAACTTTAGTTAGTCATACAACAAATACCCATATAAATTTATTAATAGATATTAATAAATAAATGTTATAAATTAATAAAATAAATTCGACTATTGAATTCTCTTCGCCTATAAATGAATTATATAATAAGCAAACAAATTTATATTCATTACTAACTTATAACACGCGACGGAATTGTAATTAGCAATTAGGTGTCACACGTACCATGCAGACAGCGTGTTCGTCGAAGGGACCATTCCATGGTACCGAGTCTGGATAATGTCCTAATACTTTGCTTTTGTATGCTCGATCCAAGGGTGTGCACTGTAATGAGTCACCTGCAAAAACAACAAGCAGCCAGACTTAATACCCTTCATAAACATCAAATATCGTTCTCATGGCGTACGAAAAGAATGGCTTCTTGTAGTCACGAACGATATTTTTTCCGCTAAATTCCACTTAAGAAACAATTAAAGAAACTTTTGTACGTTCCTTCGTCACGAATGTCAAGGCAGAACATCTAGTATGATTTCTTTTCACGAACACGCAGCAATCAAAATATTTTGTGTTAGAAGAAAAGAAAATTCAGCGCGTCTCAATCTTTGGCGAATAACGAAGTTTCGGCTCTCACGAAGATAGAGAGAAACGCTTATCTTACAGCGGAATCAGCAAAGCTGTTATCGAATATGCCACACGGTCCTACAGACTCGACTTGAATGAGAGATGGTCCAGAAGGCTTTGGCGCTGCTCCAACTGCTCCGAAGTATTCCTCGTCAGAATACAAGAGTACTCCTGTACAAAGTTAATCGTTCGTGATCAAAGAACCACCCAAGACGATGAATTTGTATTTTTGAGATGCAGGAAAGAAAACTGTGAGTAAACACCAACGAATTGCGAAACATCTTTCGCAACAAGAAAATTAATCACGATCAATGAATCAATCAGTAGATTACAGTCAATTAAGACTTCGTTCTTCTCAATGTTAAAGGAAGAAAAATGAGAGTGCGTCCTTGGAAACACATGAAGTTTAAATTTTATTTCACAAAATTCATGATATAACTATATTCATAAAAATATATTCAAATCACAAAAAATGTAAATTAAATAATATAACACATAATTATACAATTTACATGAATGTATATTTGTCTGTATAATTTGCAATATTATATTAAACGTGTTTCATGTTTTACTTTAATCATATAAAATGCATTAATTTATACTACAATGATGTTAATTGTATTACATTTTGGAGAAGATAATTTTACAATTACGGTAAATGTCGTTCCAAATGAAGTTCCTAAAATTTTTTCAACCGTCGAGATATAAAATCAGAATTAGGGAATGAGATTCGTTCGATCTAAGTATTACTTCCCGCGTACTGCGAAAGTCTTCCGTAAAGCTTCATAAGCCGTTTGCCAATGTCGAACTTTCTTCGAATTAAAGTCGGATAGTACGCACATCCCAAGTTCGTGCTCTGAATTAATCTACATGCATTTGAAATCCGTTTTACGTAATAATTCCCGCTGTAGCATAATGCAGTAATTGAATCCTATCTTACACTAGTTCTATCATATCCTATTACAAAATTTTTCACTTGAATTTGTCGCATTTTATATCTTCAAACCTCTTTGAAAGAGCAATAATTCATACACAATGATTATTCATATATTAATATCATGATTAAAAATAGAAACAAAATATGCTTTTAACGCACACGTAAAATATTATGCAATATATGAAAGTATCAATATGCACTGATGAAAGTATCAATAAAGATTATATTAAAACAGTATATTAAAACTTTCTCTAAATATTTTGCAAAAAATTGAAAATACAGTGGAAAGAAATATTCTCTATACATATAAGACGCGTACGTCTGAATAAATGCATGTAGAATTGATTTTAATCTGAAGTCTTAATTGACATCATAAACTGATCTGAGTCAATCTCCGTTTGGAAATGATGTACACGAAGTAGCTGGTGATAATCGAATGGACTGATTGGGTTGTCGAGTGAGTCGATCGTCGCCGAAATCACCAGTTTCGATTAACGGGCCGATAACTTTTTCCGATATTTCAGTTTCTCATCTACACATACATGGAATTCCCGAATAATAATAAATCGCTGTATTGTACATCGGATCGGTCCAACGAGTTCCAGTCTTCTACAAAAAAAAGTTTTTTATTTTTAGAAAACTGCGCGTCAGATGTAAAGCATCTCTGGCTAAATATTGCAGCACCGATGCTGTAAAAAGTCTAAAATATTGCAACATTGTTTACATAAAATAAATAATTTGTACAAAAAGTTCGTAGTCATATTCATAATTAATTTTTATTAAAATTTTATTCATAATTACGAATACAAATGGCAAATGAAAAAATTTTCCGTCTGTTCTTCCATTTTATTATTATATACGCCATTTAATATTTACATAATTTTCTCACTATTATATATTTTATCATTTATTATTATTACATAAACAAAATTTTTTGCAGTAATATTACAAAGGACAAAATATTATGCTAATATAAATTGTCTTATAATTTATTCTCGTTCGATTAAAAAATAAAATCGTATGACCAATTTTCTTAATTCTTTTTATGCTTTCAAAAAATCTATTTCAAGGCATATTCTAGTGCTAATATTTATATTTTTTAATACATATTTCATTTTATTACATGACCAAGCCTTTCTACATATTTATTTAATTCCAACAGTTAAATTCTATAATGATCCACATCGATTAAGATTCTCAAAAATTGTAAGATGCGACCATCGAAAAAATACCAATTGTAATCTACCAATTATTGCGTTATAAGTACCAATGGGAGGAGCTCTATTACAAGATTCAGCCGCATATACGTAAAAATACAAATAATCTCCCTCTTCAGTATGCGTTTTAATATTAATTTCTCACAAAACCGATGCTATGTTTAACATTGAAAATGATCTCGTGTGAGGTACGTTTGTCTTTTTTAATTTTGTTATTAAATATATTGTTTAGCTCGTAGCTCTTGTTTATATATTTAATTTTGAATATCTTTTTTAAAATTCTGTTATTAAATGTATTGTTTGGCTCGTAACTCTTGTTTATATATTTGATTTAAAAAAAATAAAAATTGGTGACATAGAAAAATTGGTGACATAGAAAAATTGATGACAGAAAAATTGGTGACATAGAAAAAACATATAAAATTTATGTTAAGATATATTATACAGAGAAAGACGATACAAATTTTACTATATTACAAATCTTTATTTTTTAATTGAAAAAGAAATAAATCATAAAACAATCCATACTATATTATTATAATTTTTCTTGGTAAAATCCAAATTTTTTTATTTAATTTTATTCAATGCCTTCTCATGAAAAGAGAACTACACTCAATCAAAATTATTATTACAACTCAGCAACTTATGCAATAACACGAGCATCATTATAAAAGTTATCTACTATCTGTTCATCTAAAATCATAGCATATCCCCTCGAGTCATCGTGCGGATCTGTCATCGTGTTTAATTGAGCGCAGAAAATTGTTCGCCAATTCTTTTAGTTAAACGCTCGCAGCTCATGAGTCTCGATCTTCATGAATCTCTCGCGATGATATTTAATAATTTTGTGATATATTTACACGTACTTACGAGTGCGTACTCGGAGTAAATGTTAATTATTTATAAAATATCTTACTTTCAACATCCTGTAATTATCGTGCAAGTAATACTGTTACGACTATACGGAAATCGCTTGTAACAATGCATACTCTTACTGCATATCTGCCTCGTTCCAGTTATTACACGAATATATTGTCCCTAAATCTCCACACATGCGTAGATCTCCGTACTTTCTACTCTCGTACACGCATCGTTGCGGAGAGGGTCTTATTATGAGTACACTTCCTAATTACACCATACCTTACGCGCAACATCAAAGTGCGGTTACTAACGGTAATCGCACGGGTAGTCTAAAAGTAGATGGTTTTGCACCGGTTCTTAATTGTTCTACAAATCTTTCTGTTGCGAGTAACGATATAAATTAAATACTTAAAATAATTCTAAGAAAAAAATATATTTAAAAAATAATCAAGTTATATATAATATATATGGTAGAGAGAGAGAGAGAGAGAGAATCAAACGACTGAGAAGTATTACTTTTGTATGTAAGAGTATTAAAATCCTTTTTCCAGGAAACCTTGGCTGCACAATATTATTTCAACTTAAATTTATTTAAGTTGAAATAATTTAAATCCATCTCTGTCTCTGTCTCTTTCTCTTTCTTTGCAGTTTATGTCTTTAAAATAGAGGCTGTATTATAACATGTGTAGTTTTATTTTTAAGATTCTAAAAAACATGTTACCGGAGCAATTAAGAAATAAGTTAAAAATAGTAGGAAATGAGAGTGAAAGGCAAACACGACAAATCGGGAATCGAGTCGGGAATATTGCAATAAAATTCCGCAGAGAAGTGCGCAAAGAGTAGAGGAAGGTCACCGATATCGATGTACTACTTTGTTTTTAGATAGTATTTTTTAAACAAAAGTTAAAAATAAAACTTTTAAACATAAATACAAACTAGAAAGTGTCTTCTTTCAGATAATATAGCAGTTATTATAGTACTTTTTGTAATTTTGCAATAATTAACTTTTTCGTAAGTTAAACAAAAATGAGCATCTGACAAAATGGACCCCAAAACTGACACAGTAAGCAGTAACTCCTATCCTTTTTCTTTCTCAAGAATCATTTGTCAAAATGCCTACAAATAAATGTGTATAATAATATATTTTCTAGAATCTTTTCATTTCTGTATAAAATGTTTTTCGTTCATTTATATGCATACTTTATGCTGTTCTGCAAAACACAAACATGTAACGCAACAGTTTCTTTTTATAAGGCTTCTTCTATAAATACACGATTGTTTTCAATTCCAATAGGAACTATTTGACACTATACTAAAAATTTAATTAACTTATGTCTGTCTTACAGACAAGTGTGCCGGTTTACGTTGTGCATCTCAATTTTATATTTAAAATCGTATTATAAAGAAATAAAAATATATGTATAAATAAAACTAATTTTGGAAGCTATAAACATGTAAAACGATATAATATTATCAATAATGTAGCCACTATTATTTCAACTACGCAATTTGTAAAAAAAAATTGCAAGAATTTTATTTTCGCAATGGTAGAATTTGTTTTTACCTGATTTTGTATAAAAATAAGCCACAAATGTATTAATTATATTTTTATTTCTTTAATTATCTAGACAGATCATGTTTTCATCAGTATTGATGAAGTGCAATAGTTAATTTCCGAGAAATGTCTCTTTAGGGGATGTCT